TCCTTGACTTTGGTTAATGAACAAACAACAGGTGGAATTGACATGTAAATGGCACATTTGCCAATTGTTGATGAAGAAAGATTGCATTGTGGTCCAAATAGAGAGAAGTGGGTATAGAAGGAGTCCTCTTCCTGCCCGTCTGTGGTCCTCTAGGCGCACTGAACCCAAGACCCTGCAAATGCCTAGTGCTGGGAGGGCTGTTTGACTTCAGCCAAACAATAGCATCAGTCCACATCATCAGCAAAATAGCAGATGGTTGTAGGAATGTTTTTTGGACCGGTAGGTTTGCTTGTACTTAATTTGCAAGCCCAGTTATTCGAGGTTATAGAGTTATACAGGCGTGAGGGTTTTTGACCCAGCTTTTATATTTGTGTAGATATCCTAGGTGTCCATGAGACCTTTTCCCCGGTCCCATTGCTTCTGACACCCTGAGATTTAAGGGAACTCTTCCTGCAGCCCCAGCCTGCCGAGCACTGGGCTTCCCATTCTGCGGGAGCCAAGTGTGCCACCGGGGAAAGCATGGGCCTTAGGACGAGACTGACGTGACCGGGGTGCCGTGTTACTTCATTACTTTTATTGGGTTTCTCATCTGTGAGATGTGATAGCAATTGGACTAACATTAGCTCCCCCAGAAATAATGTGATGATGTCCTTCTTTCGTGCTCCCTCTTCTGTTTGCCTTCAGTTATTCTCTTGGCGTGGTTTTTCAAGCCAGATCTTCCTGTGAGTTTTCTTCTGCATGCCCCCTAGGTTGTCTGTGTTCCTAAAACGTGGCCCTCTGTGTTAAACACAGATGTAATTTACGCAGCTGTGGTAGTTTGAGTATTATTGCTTGCGTTGTCTTTGTCTCTACTTTTTTTAAACAATTGGAGTAATAGAGTAAATTCACAGATTTGATTTGCAGGGAAACGTTCTATTAACTGTGTATAGTAGAAGTATATAGCAGCAGAACTTTTTGGTGGTGTAACTGGAATTCACCCCTCTGCCAGTGATGAAAAGAACATTATCCTTGATACAACTCTAGGTGTTTATTGCTCTTAACTGCTTGGATTATACTGTATACGGATTATGTTCTGGAATGTTTTGTCTTTAGTGGGTAAACCACTCTGTTTTGTTACTAGTGAAATAATGAGAAGGCTTTTAATTAATTCATTCATGAACATTCATATAAAAAGTCACTTTCTTCTAGGTACTAGAGAAAGTACGTTTTCTCTTTTTTTAGAGATCTGTATTGAGAGGAAGGAAACTTGATGGCACAATGGTTAAGCACTTGGCTGCTAAGTGAAAGGTTGGTGGCTTAAGCCCACCCAGCCACTCCACCAGAAAAAGACCTGGCAATCTGCTCCCGTAAAGATTACAGCCAAGAAAATCCCATGGAGCAGTTCTACTCTGTCACATGGGGTCGCTATGAGTCAGAATCGACTCGACAGCACCCAACAACGATAACAACATCGAGAGAGGACCTCGGTTTTATTTAAATTTTCTTTGTGTCCTGGGAAAGATGAGGCTTTTAGGCAAAACCGCTGACGTAAGTGCCAAAGAAGCCACACTGTCCACAGAGCCGAACGTGAAGGCAGAGGAGTGGCTTGGCACCATTCTCCAGTAGGCTCCTGGAGAAAGGCCTGGGCTGGGGGATGCTCGCAATTCACTGCTCTCTTATTGAGGACTGTTCTTAACTTGATAGAACAGACGGAGTGAAAGGATGCACCCTCCCAGCCCAGTTCACATGTGCTTTCAGTACTTGGGAGGTCACTTCAGGATAACAGTTGGGTTGGGAGATAGGAGAATAGTTGATCCTTCTGTAAACTGTGCAAGCACAGGAGACCTTCTGGTCTAGTTCTCCAGCCTGCTCCTGTTGTTAAACCTGGGATCACTCAGGATTCCTTTTCAGCTGCTTTCCAGAGGAGAGGCTTTGTAATTTCGGGTACATACTGTGCAAGGCTATGGAAGGAGAAAGATTGGCTGCAAGAGAACTTATCTTGAAGAGAATTCATGGTGAAGACTGATGATTAAAGTGTTGTCTACCAAACAGCAGCTAATAAAACAAATACAGGCACTGCTATGGTGTCTGTGGGTCGTGGCTGTAGAGCGTGTGGACCTTGAGTTGGCTGTCTTAACAGGGCCTGACCTCACCTGCAGAGTGCCTGGGACGGTTGTCTCTACTTAGGCTCTGCCCCCAGTTTTAGGAGACACTTCTGGGAGCTCCGTTTGCCTCTGAGTTTTGCTAAGGAGGCCAAAAAACAAATTACATTTCTGCTTGTGATGTTACCTGGACTATGGCCCAAGACCCACTTGGGATGGGGAGAGAAGTGATACAGCAGCATCAGGAGAGTTTGAGCCATGTGCTAGCTCGTTTTAAGTTCACATTCATGTAGGAGTTGTGAGCAGAAGTGAATCCAGTCATCGGAAGCGGTTTTCCACATTTCGGATGTAAGCTAGACTGCTGGGTCGGTGCGTTTTCTCCTCATGGCTTTAAACACCATGTTCCTGTGACCGTGAGCACCTTCCAGTCAGGCGTCATCACCGCAGACGTTTTTGGAATGTTTTTGTGACATGCCCTCTTACACCCGTGTAGATGTCACATAAACTTTACATCTGTGACACTTAGAATGTTGGTTACTCTGATGGTATGAGTCAAGATAAGCAATAGAATGATGTGCGTGGTGTGGGCGCGTGCGTGCGTGCGTGCGTGTGTGTGTGTGTGTGTGTGTGTGTGTGTGTGTGAGAGAGAGAGAGAAGGAGGGAGGAGGATGCGGAGGGAAATGAGCCCGTGCAAGAAAAACCCAAACCAAACCCATTGCCTATGAGTTGATTCCGACTCATAGTAACCCTATAGGACAGAGTAGAGCTGCCCCATAGGGATTCCAAGGGGCCAGCTGGTGGATTCAGAGGGCTGGTGGATTCGAATGCCGACCTTTTGGTTAGCAGCTGAGCTCTTAACCACTGCACCACCAGGGCTCTGCCAGGGCAAGAGAGAGCATAAAATTGGTTGTAATTTTGGGTTTTTAAAAGTGGTTTGGTTTTTTAAACACCACTTAGCGATAGCAGTTAGTTTTTTGTGTTTTTAATGTAGACTGGTTTCTCAGAGTGATTCCGTGAGGCAGCAAGTAATCAGGAGTCTTTCCCATAGTCCACCAACATTCAAGTTGGGTGGCATCCTAAAATTGTTACTGAGTATTCATAAGATCTTAGGTATATTTCCAAAATCCTGGCAGGCAGGCAGTACCTGGTTAGTGTCTGACACTGGCGTCCTTAGCTGGCCTGGACCGTTAGAGAGGATAGATAATGTAATAATGAGGATTGCAGTTTTATAACTGGAGCTATTCAGAAGCCATCCCAGGGGGTCCTGAGTATAACACTAAGGTTGTAACCAAATGAGGCTGTGTTTTTTAGCCTGTGTTTAAGGCCGTTTTAACTCTTGTTATTTATTCTGTATTGCAGAAGTGCTTTCTGCATATTTTCCGTTTCAGCACACACATCATTTAAAAAGACATGTGTCATGTAAAGTAATACCTTCCCAGGTTCTTGGAATTAGGCCGTGGACATCTGGGGGTTGATGGGGGCTTATTCTGCCAATTACAGAAACAAAAGAAATAAATCAATATGGGATCTTAGATTGGATCCTGGACCAGAAAATGAAGAACCATGGTGAAATCTAAATAAATTCTATGTTCAGTTAATACCACTCTGCCAATGTTAATCTCTTCATTTTGATAACGTCTCTGTCAGTCTAAAATTACTATAAAATAAAAAATTAGACAAGGGAAAAAGGAGGACATGATGGGGATTGAGGTTTAATAAAGTTAGTAATTTTAATTGCTTCATCAAAGGCATTCTTATGAGAAACTGGCTTTTTTTTTTTTTTTAACTGCAAGGATGTGGAGATGAAGTGTGTGGTGACCCCGCAGTGTACCCACCGTAGCTTTCGCTCCATCAGTGCGACCGGGTAAAAAAGGCAGATAAGGTCTTAGTGTTCTTATGGAAATAGTGTTGCCTTGCTGGCCCCTCAGCAGGGTGTCAGGGACCACCGGGGATTGATGGATCACACTGTGAGAACCACCGAGATAGCGTAGGCGTTCTTTTTGTTGTGTGCCTGTTGAGTTGATTCCAACTCATAGCAGCCCTATAAGACAGAGTAGAACTGCCCCTTAGGGTATTCTCGGCTGTAGTCTTTACAGGAGCAGATCTCCAAGTCTTTCTCCTACAGAGCCTTTGGGCAGATTGGAACCGCCAGCCTTTTGGGTTAGCAGCCGAGTGCTTAACCATCATGCTGCCAGGGCTCCTTTAGCTTAGGAGTTAGGGATACCTTAAATGAAACAATGGGATCTTAACAAGCATTCCCCAGCTGGCAGCCTCCCTGGTGGAGGTCATGCTCAGCACCCATGTTCACACCTGTGACCTGCCTGCCCGGCCCCGGGCACTGCTCTCTGGGGGACTGAGCACCATCAGGCGTTTTGTCCCTGGTTAGGACTCAGCACTGACCTTCACCGGTAGTAGCTACCAGAGGAGTGTTAATGAATGCACAAGAGAGGAGAGGAATAGGAAGGATGGTGGTTTTTCTCCTGAGGAGAAGACAGGATGCAAAACCAGAAATGCAAAATTAAAATTTTAAAGGTTTTTGAGGTTGAACCCAGTTTCCAAACATCATTGTTCTTGATGCATGTATAGCCAGATCCTGTTCTTTTCTGGTACAGGGGAAGGGTGGGAATGAGTTTCGTTCCACAGATACGGTGTACCCTCATTCTAGTTAATAATTTCAGCCACCCACCACTCCTGTTTCCCGCCCCTGCAGATCTCCCTAGAAGTTCTGGCAGGTGGTGAGGTGGTTGGTGGGAGGGCCATGCTCCATGCCTTCCTCGTCTGACCAGAGAGCACAGACAGACCCGACAGACGAGGGGCAGGTGGAGGACAGCAGAGTCCATGTCACGTCACCCAAAGGGACTCTGGCCCGAAGAAGTGCAAGCATTGCGTGTTCTAAACGTGTGTTTTCTTTTCCTCTAGTGAAGAAGTCTGCAAGCGAGGGTTCACGGTGATTGTGGACATGCGTGGGTCCAAGTGGGACTCCATCAAGCCCCTGCTGAAGATCCTGCAGGAATCCTTCCCCTGCTGCATCCACGTTGCACTGATAATCAAGCCAGACAACTTCTGGCAGAAACAGAGGACTAATTTTGGCAGTTCTAAATTTGAATTTGAGGTAACTTCCCCCGTGTAGCCAGACGGACTAAAACTATAGGTGGGGCTTATTAAAAGCTGACTTTCTCTCACCGTTTTAGGCTTATAGGGTTTTTAAACCACCTGTTAAGCAGGAACTGCATGTCTTACATACATTGTTGTTGTTTGCTGCCATCAGGTCGATTCTGACTCATCATGACCCCATGTGTGCAGAGTACAATACAACTGTAGTCTGTAGGATTTACAAACACAGGATATGTAAGATTAATTATTGTGTAAAATAACTAAGTTTTTTAATTACGTTATCCAAGTGGATTGTTTTACCCAGGGATGTTTGGGTTTCGAGTCTCTTGGTTTTGTTGGTGGGGGTGCTAAGGAGGAGTGAGGCATTACCTTAAAAACAGAAGTCCGTTACCTTTTACTTCTCTTTATAAGACGGCTTTAGCGTTCAGCACAAACGGCTCTATGTGGCTTCCAGTTATCATTGGTGTTACCTCAGCCTTGGAGATGAGGGGATGTTAGGGAGAAACGCCCAAGCTTCAGATTTCCTGAGGAAAAAATATAGAAGAGACTGGGTTTTCATCCTCATGTTGATCATGGAGAGAGCTATCATGTATTTCATGCATTACGCCTGGTCACTTATGAAAATGGAGGCATTTTTTGTGAACATTTGCAGAGTACATTTAGGCACATATGGTTGCTGTCTCTCAGGCCGTTGCATGAAATGAACCTCAACCCGCTAACTGCTTTCTTTTCCACTCCAGCCCCCTCTCCTTAAGCTAACAGGGTTCTGACAGAAGCTTTTGGTGTAGTTAGTTTGATGGGATGATTGTGGGCAGAAACTATTGTGGCCATCTTGAAACTTGATTCATGCCATATTCTGTAATAAAATTGGAATATATAATAATAAGGATTTTTGGCTGATAGATTGCCTCTTCTAGAAACTTTGCCAAAACATTAGGTCTCCTTGCATATACTCATGTCTTTTAAGATAAACAGCAATAATATTAAAAACATCAAACCATATTAGTGCTTCAGCTTTATGTTACATCTTACACTTTTCTGAGTGTTTACACATGTATGTTACTTGTCGTTTTAAATCTCTTTCCATAGTACTGATTTTCCAAACTCAAATCGAGTTTAGCTTTAACTTGAATTTGAAACTAAACTCAAGGTTCAGGTGAAAAATGAAGTCAGTAAGTGTTTAACTTCCTACAAAATTAGAAGTGATTTTGGAGGATAATTTATTAGATTTTAGTCATTTTCTTAATGCAAAATTAAAATGTGTTGTATTTAAGTATAAACTTTTTTAACCAGAGGTAATGGTTTGGCAACGTAACTCCCGCGAGTTTTTCTGTTCTGGTTTTGACCTGTCCTTCTGGATTTTAAAGTTCCCTAAGGCCGTTTTTCTGTTAAATTTGTGGTCCCCACATCATTACCAGCCTCTCTCTGTCAGTGGTCGCCTCCACAAAAGCCAAAAACCAAACCCGATGCCATCGAGTTGATCCCAACTCACAGCCACCCCGTCTGTTGCAGAGTAGAATTGCTTCATGGGTTTTCCTTGGCTGTAATCCTTCTGGAACCAGAGAGCCAGGCCTTTCGTTGCGGCTCCTCTGGTGGGTTGGAACCACCAGCCTTTAGGTCAGTCATCTAGCGCAAACTATTTGCACCGCCCAGGGACCACGAATGTTGTTAAGAGCCCCTGCAAGTGAGACTCGAGTCAACCTGCAGTGACATTGTGGGCAAGAGTGCTGGGCTAGGAGCAGGCACCTTTCTAGCTCCACTGGTTTTTGCTGCTTCTTGTGCCAGCCAGCGGAGGTGCAGTTCTGGGTTTATCCAAGGCTGCAGATGACAGAGGTGGGGCTAAGCCAGTCTTTCTTTGTCTTATCTTTTGCCGAATTGTGTTCTAGACCACAAATCTTTTACCTTTGTCTTTGATTTTAAGTTAACCTCCCCCAAACATCTTTCTTGAGACATAATGTTAACAGTAATTCTGCTTTACATTTAGGTGGAGTGAGGTTACAATTTCTTGCTTAGATCGTAGTAGACTAAAACTGTGTCGCTGCTAGATTGGAATGTAGTATATTATTTTTGTAAAACACCTAAACTACTCAGAATTGCAGCAGATCATTAAAACGAATGAAGCGTTCTCTCCGTCTTTGGCCTCTGCCGGCTTTCTTGTCACCCTTTGTGTATTTCCTCACGTTTTAAGAAGCCACTCATAATCCTGTGGTCTTAGTTGGTGGGAAGTGGGAGTAGGACGAGATGAATGGTGAGGGGGGTCCGGATGGGGGGCTTTCTCAGTCAATGAGCAGCAGGCAGAGTGCCCCTGCAGGGAGGGGCACTTAAAGGGCTCTTGGAAGCTCGTGAGCCAAGGCTTTAGTTTGATATCAGAAAGTTGGGAGTCCCTACAGAGTTTTTTCTCTGGAATGAGATGGTTAGAGTAGCATGGATGAGAAAGAATACATGGAAGAATGCAGTGATGGAAGTGAAGTTTTCTGAATCATCTGCTCTGCACTTGGAATTTAACACAATTCCTAGCTCAGTTTGTCTAAGATTGTGGGTTAATTTCCACCTTCTTGGAAAGAAATCTAATTTCTTTAGCTCTCATCAAATAGGTGTGATTCTATAATTTTAGGTATTGCATCTAACCATGTATTTATTGCTTTAATGGAGTCTCCTCCCATTGGCTGTATTGATAATGCCCCGTTGATCTATGTTTGTTTTTGTGGGGCCAGTACCAGGTGTGCTGTCTTTTCTGTAAATAGGTTACTTGCTGTAAGTTTGCAAATCTGTGACTAAACCTTGGAAACGGCATTATGGTAAGACCACATAAAATTGGTTCATCTTCTCATACATGATTTTTTTTTTCCCTTAAGACAAATATGGTCTCTTTAGAAGGCCTTACCAAAGTAGTTGATCCTTCTCAGCTCACTCCCGAGTTTGACGGCTGCCTGGAATACAACCATGAAGAATGGATTGAGATCAGAGTTGCTTTTGAAGACTACATCAGCAATGCCACCCACATGCTATCCCGGCTGGAGGAACTGCAGGACATCCTGGCTAAGAAGGAGTTGCCTCAGGATCTAGAGGGGGCCCGCAATATGATTGAGGAACATTCCCAGCTGAAAAAGAAGGTGATTAAGGCCCCCATTGAGGACTTGGATTTAGAGGGACAGAAACTGCTTCAGAGGATTCAGAGCAGCGATAGCTTTCCCAAAAAGAACTCGGGGTCTGGCAACGCGGACCTGCAGAACCTCTTACCCAAGGTGTCCACCATGTTGGACAGGCTGCACTCGACCCGGCAACATCTGCATCAGATGTGGCATGTGAGGAAGCTGAAACTGGACCAGTGCTTCCAGCTGAGGCTGTTTGAACAGGATGCCGAGAAGGTAAAGGGGGTCGGGGGGGGATGTGTGCCAAAATGAGACGTGGTGGGGAGCAACCTGGATCCCTGGGTCTGGGCAGCCAAGCTGGTTTGGTCAGGCGGAATGACAGAGAGAAACCCTGGAGAACGGTGAGTCTGCTCTCACCGTGTTGGTTATGAACCAGCAAGTGTCAGGTCTGAGACGTCATTTAAATCTGCTTCCTGGTTTTATTCATTGTGCTCCATTCCACGTGCCTTGAGTCGATTCTGACTCATGACGACCCCATGTGTGTCACAGTAGAACTGTGCTCCATAGGGTCTTCAATGGCTGATTTTTTGGAAGTAGATCACCAGGCCTTTCTTCTGAGGTACCTGAGTGGACTCAAGTTGCCAGTCTTTTGGTTAATAGCCAACATGTTAATCATTTGCACCACCCAGGGACTTGTAGTCATTGGGCCATCCAGTGCTATTGTAGAAATACTGAGTTGTTAATTACTGATAGTTTGGTTTAGAATTCCTGTAAGATAGAAGAGAACAAATATTTTCAGTGAAAAGAGTGAATAATTTATAGGATTATATCCCTAAAAGCAATAATTGTATTTTGCTGATAACTGCTCTTCCGTTCATACAAACCTGGTGACAGAGCCCCATTCCGATCTATCACTGAGTATTTTTAAATGAAAGGCGAGCAGTGAGTTAAAATAATAGTTTCTGGATAACATTGGCAATAATTGCCTGTGGTCTCATGTTTTATTCTTGTGCCTCAGAGAAACCAGCTGGTCCGAGGGAATTCTTGTCCATTACTGGCTAATTCACTATTAGCAATGTGAAAACAGGACACTTATTTCTAGGAATCTGTGGCAAGCCATGAGCATGGGTGAATTAATTTCTTTTAAATAAATTCATTGAATTGTTTTATTTCATGGACAGGAGAATATTTTGTAGGGTAGAGAAAAGTAAAAAAAAAAAAAAAAAATTTACCTTAAAAATCTTTGCTATAAAAGGACCTTTTGAAAGATAACAGCCCACTGCTAGCCTTCAACATCTCTCTGAGCATGCTTTTGTTGTAGGTAATGCCTAGTCAAAGACACTGGAAAATTTTCCTTCCAGTTACTAAAAAAAACAGGTGACTAGCTCTGGGATTCTGGTTCAGGCCACTGATTAATAGTCATTTCGATTTCCTTAAATGTTTTCCTTGAGAACATCTTAATTGGAATTCTACACCAAGTAGCATCTGTACTGAACCCTAAGAGAGATGTTGTCATTAACTCTCCACCCCCCCGCATCCTGATTTTTAAGTAATTTTAGTTAGTGGTATTTGCACTGCTTTCTGTATGCTTCTTGCACAAAAGAGCATAATATTGAAGTCATTGGTGCTGCTGTCAGTGGGCAGTTGAAACCCAGCCAGAGACCTCAGAGTCCCTAGTTTCTTAGGGATCTTTAATTGAAGAGCATTGTGGCAAGTTAAGCAGTTGAGGATGGCAGGGAGACTGGGCTGAGAGTGAGAAGATCAGAGTTTTTAATTAGCTCGGGGGATTTGAATTCCTCTCTTATCTGCTCCCTAATTCCCCGTCTGTAAAAGAAGCACTTCAGATAAATTTTCTTGTAGATCCTGCAAGTTCAGAACCCCTGACATGTTCTTAGAAGTAAAGACTCCTCGGAGTCCAAGTGCTTGAGCGGTCCTACGAGCAGGGGCACTGTCCTCCTTGGAGCTTGCCCGTTCCTAGGTCCGTACCAGTTGTTTCTCTTTTGGGGGTGATTCCAGGTTGTCTTTTTCGCTCCTGTAGATGTTTGACTGGATCACACACAACAAAGGCCTGTTTCTGAACAGCTACACTGAGATTGGGACCAGCCATCCTCATGCGATGGAGCTGCAGACACAGCACAATCACTTTGCTATGAACTGTATGGTAAGATTTTGTCAGACCCGCTGTCCCCTGGCCTGTGAAAGTATTTTAGCACACAGGAGGTGTTTAAGCAGGTTGCACACCAGCACACCCACAGGAGGCAATGCTGGGCCATCAGAACCACTGTTTTGATCGTAGCGGCTGACCTTCAGGGGTAGGAAGTGCTCCAGGTTAGCAGTGTCTGAGTATCTTGTTTTAAGTTTCAAACAAAAATGAAAACCAACCAATGAAACTTGTACCAATTACATGCGTAATTCAGTGTGGACGTTTGTCACCTCCTGCACCCTGCCTGCAGTGGCCCCAGAAGGCTTCTCTGAGGCAGTGATGCTCCTGAGCAGACCTGGCCCACTGTCAGTTTGCTGGCTGCTGTTCACAGTAAAGAGAAAGGCCCACCTGCTGCTCACCTCAGGGACATACTCCAGTTCTCCCAAAACATGAGATTTCTTTCCAAGTTGAGCTGAAAGACTGGAGTCCAGGGTTCGGTCCTGCCTGGAATCCCCTGGCTCTCTTTGAGGTTGATGCATTTGATGCCCTAGGCCTGTGGCTGGGACTCCTTCAGAATCCCCTAGACCAGATGAGGGTTATTCTAGAGTATATCACAAAGAAAGTCACTCAGTTTTGAATAGCACTTCTGTTAGTTACATCATTAGCACTTACGTTATGGCATCAGTGTCACACATGTCACTGAAGGTCAGTTCCCAGCTGATTGTGGCCTTGACGATCTGCCACAGCCTCAAAGTACCTTCTCTTCCTGCCACGGCAGACGCACACACAGCTGTGATCTGACTTCTGGTCTTCAGATGCAGCCAGAAAAGTAACTTGGGCTGGAGTCCGGTGCTTCTCTAATCCCAGACCAAGTGACTCCACCTAGTTTTAGTTTGGGCTGAGTGAAGGAGTGAGTAAAAGATGGTACAAAAAGGAGGAATGGAAGCTGAGTGAAAGAGCAAGAAAGTTCTTTAGATGCTTAGTTGGGTAGCCGATAGATGAGCTGAGCTGTGAGGTGGCTGTTGGAGAAGTCTGCATGAGCTGCCACAGAAGCTTGGCCCCGAGCTCATGGTACGAGGGCAAGACGGGAGGAGAATGGGCAGTGGTTGGACAGATTGGTATTTAGACCTAGGGGCAAGATTGAGAGGAGCCAAAGATGCCTCTGATTTTGGGGTACCCATGAGAGGAATGACACGGTAATGGCGTTATGGAAATAGTAAATGCCCAAAGAACCACAGCTTGAGATTTGTTAAAGGTGTGCACCCCCACACCCCGTCTTTAATGTTGTTGTTAGCTGCTATCAAGTTGGCCCCTGACTCATGGCAACCCCACGCACAGTGGGATTGGACCATTGTGATCCGTGGAGTTTTCATTTGCTGACTTTGAGAACAGATTGCCAGGCCTTTCTTTCTAGTCTAGTCTGTCTTAGTATAGAAGCTCTGCTAAAACCTGTTCAGCATCCTAGCAACACACAAGCCTCAACTGACAGATGGGTGGTGGCTGCCCATGAATTGCATCGGCTGGGGCTCAAACCTGCATCTCCTGCATACAAGGGGAGAATTCTGTCACTGAACCACCACTGCCCTCATTTTAATGTAATACTGAACCTTACAAGAACAGGATTGAAGGTGGACAGAAGAAATACCATATTGAGAACTTGTTTGCAAAGAGTGCTTTTTTTTTTTTTTGCCTTTCATCTTTATTTTTCCAATGAACTCTGGTTGAATTATACATAGGAATTTCAATAGAGTGGAAAAGCTTTATTTAAAATTTGAAAACAGCATTGTTGTGTTTCTACCTCTATTTGTATTTTTGGGAGAAACTGGATCCGTTTCTAGAAGATTTTCTACTGGCACCAAAAAGAAAAAAAAAAAAAAAACACTTGGGTTTCGGTAGGACGGTTGGCGGGGGGGTTGTTTTCACACAAATAGCTTTGGTTGCTAAGTGCGTAGTTTTTAGTTTCTGGGTTCTAGTTAAAAACTGAAGTGCTAGTTCCTTCAGTTTTGGGTGACTGCTTGTCAGTAGGCCTGCCATCTGGACTCTTTTCAGTGTTTGAAGCCAAAAAGTGAGTAATATCATATTTGTGGGCACCCACTTGTGAATTTGATTGCTTTGTGCCTAACAATTGTGCCTTTCAGCTAGTTGATTTGTAATTTTATGGTTTAAAAAATAGAAATTGAAACCAATACTTGGAGTTTATGGAAATCCAGTTAGCCGGACATGTACAGTATCATACCCCAGGTGATTCTACTGTTACAAACACGGTAACTTTTAATTTAGTGGGCTGTGCTTTAGAAAGTGATACCCGAATTTCTTAGAAAGAAGGCTCTTGTCGGCCTTCCCCTAACAAGCCCTCTTTCTCTGCCCCCTTTGCAGAACGTGTATGTAAACATAAACCGCATCATGTCGGTGGCGAATCGCTTGGTGGAGTCCGGCCACTATGCCTCTCAGCAGATCAAGCAGATTGCGAACCAGCTGGAGCAGGAGTGGAAGGCGTTCGCGGCAGCCCTGGATGAGCGGAGCACCTTGCTGGACATGTCCTCCATCTTCCACCAGAAGGCTGAGAAGGTCAGTGCCTGAACCCCCCAGCCCACTAGATGCAAACCAGAACCTTTCCTCCTCCAGTAGTCCTGGAGGATTTTTGTGTAGCACTCACTGGGCTTAAGAATGTGAGCTCCGAAGTCACTCAGCTGTCCGTTTAAATCTCAGCTCCCTTACTCCTTGCTGTGCAACCTTAGGCAAGTCATATAACCTCTCTGTTCCTTGGTTTTCTCATTTGTAAAGTGAAAAGTACTTACTCGAAGGGGCTGTTTATCATGTAAATGAGATAATTCATGTTATATGCACTGCCCAATGTCTGGTATATAGTATATACTAATAAGTGGTAACCCAGTATATGTATCTCCCAAGCTGGGAGCCAGAATCCTGACAACAGAGAAGGCTACTTCAGTGAATAAGACCATCAACCACTGCGGGTAACACATTTGAGCCCTATGTCCCCCTTATCAGATATAAATTCTTAATGAAAACTCTGGATGTAGGAGTCCCTAGATGGCCCAGTGGGTTCAACGCTTAACTACTAGCTGAAAGATTGGTAGTTCGAACCCATCCAGAGGTGCTTCAGAAGACAGGCCTGGTGATCTGTTTCTGAAAGGTCAGTGCCTCAGAAGCCCTCTGGAGCGGTTGCACTCTGCACACATTGGGTCACCATGAGTCAGGGTCAACTTACAGCAACCGACAACAACAGATGGTAGCTGCTGTTCTTTTTCTCTTCGTCTTCCTCCTGCTCCTCATTATTATCTCTTTATTACACCCGTTAGGATGCTTTGGCAGCAAGTAACAAAAAGCCCGACTATAAGTGCTTTCAACATCAGAGTTTACTCTTTTCACAAAACAAGAAGTTGCTGGGAATAGGCAGTTCTAGGCTTGATCCAGTTGTACAGTGACATCAGGGCTGAGATCTGCTTCG